TTTTTTTTAATTGCGCACAGGGCGCAACTCCCTCAGCGCGCGCACCGCGCACAGCGGACAGCACTGCGTACTCCGCAAAGCGCACGGCGCACAGTGCGCGCGCTGTCGTTCCAGCGCACAGCGCAGTGTGCACCGCCCCGCACCGCACTGCGCACTGGTGCGCCGCAACTATGCTACAAACGTTCTTTTGTCAGTATCAGCTGATGATTGATTTTTTTTTCAGAATGGCCCAAAAGGCATTGCTGAGGTGTATGAGTATGTGCTTTTTTCTGTGATCGTGCAGGGCTTGCAGCAAGAAGCTTCTGCCTCGAGTACTGGAGTGCTTTGTGTGAAGCCAAACGACCATTTGTCCAATATTGTCTCTGTGAATGACATGGAGATTCTTGTTGATGTCATGCGACGGCCTGGAAGTCTGAAGCTTTTCTCGCCAAAGAGCCTGGCTATGTATCATCTTTCGGGTTTTGGCGATTGCGACAATAGTGGGGACTACGATTCGGGTGATTTCAATATGGACCTAAACAGCCCTGGGTTCCCATTCAACACAGAGAAAGCCTTCTGGGAAAGGTATGTGTTTAGCACGGCGAAAAGTTGGTATGTTTCAACTTTCAACGGACATGGGAAGAATGAACGACAGGAAGGGTCATGTCTAATGGTAATGAAGAGGAACATCACAGTCCAGTGATGTGTGATATGAGGCAGTACCGAGCTGTGCCTTGTTTGAGTAAAGTTGCACTTATGTGAAGACAAAGCAGTTTAACCACGAGCATCTGGGAGTCCGTCCTTGTGCCGAAAGTGGTTACTGCAATAGGCTGGGCTGCCAGGCATGGTGTTGTATGTCAACAATGGACAACACTGATGGAATAACAGGTATTCCCTTCACAGGGCACACGGCATCCCAGAATCAACGCCAAACCAATTCAATCAGAGACCTGACAAGAGGGGAGGATGAAAGACCAAGGCTCGAGAGAGACGAGAGAAGAGGAAGAAGAAGAAAAAGAAAAAGAAGAAGAAGAAGAAGAAGAAGGAGAGAAAGACGAAAAAGGAGAGAGAAGGAAGAATAGTATAGACGCCAGAGTTCCCGAATGCGATTTGGTAAAATAAGCTTGAAGCACATGATGGAAGACGAACTTCCGTTAGCTGGCAGTGACTCGACCGGTTTCGCCTGGCCGCCTGCCAGGGACTCATCAGGGGTCATAAAGTCGGCGTGAAGGGTGTTGGTCCCACTAGGCTCAAAGGGTCAGGATCAGAGGTAGTGGTAATTCAAGAGTTCTTGTTTCGGATCCCATTTCCAGAAAAAAATGGGACATTGGATGGCAGGAGGACTTGTGGACTATGTGCTGAAAGGGTTCTTCTGAGTTTATACTAAAGGGTTTCGTACAAGGGGTGATGGAGGTGTTTCGTGAGTCTTCTCCCCTCCTTCAATGGAGTACAGAGGACAACACGAGGATTCCTCCCCCTCTTCTTCCACGTCTCTAGGTTGAAACCTCCTACAGTCCATGCCCTAAAAGGCTTCATAGACATAATCCCATGATTGGAAGTGAAGATCATACTCCATAGCCAGAGGTAACTCCTCCTCACAGTTTCCTCTTTCTTCCTTGTCGACTTGGCCTTGCTTCTCCTTCCTTGTACTGCCCAATGTGGCACTTATCCTACCTACCATATCCAATTCCCTCTCGTTCACACTCTATGTTCCCACCATAGCAATGGAGGTCATCTTGCTCAATCCAGAGTCTATCATGACACCCAGCTGCTCTGCTAACCCGGCTGCAGAATGGATCAGCATATTGACTGCCAGGAAGTGAGCAAGTTAACTGACACGACACTCCCAATGATATACCTGATGGACCTGCAATCCAAGATCTTCTCCAGCCGGTAGCTCTAGGCCCTAGCCAATTTTCTCCTAGATCTGCAGGAATCACTACAGACTGTAATTTGCCGAGGACTGGTACCATTATTGCCTCTTCTGCTAACCCTGTCATATCCAGGGCCTCTCAACATCTCCACTTCGCCAGCATAAAAAATTCCTTTTCCCCGTCTCTCTCTCTCTCTCTCTCTCTCTCTCTCTCTCTCTCTCTCTCTCTCTCTCTCTCTCTCTCTC